ACGCGAAAGTTTATGACCGGCTTTGTTTTATTTTCAAATTACATTTTTTCGGTGCAGAAGCTAAGTTAAGCTTGGTTCAAAATATTTTTAAATAAACAGTATAATTTCTGTTTTTATTAAAATCAGTTTTGAAAAAATGATAATTGATTTTTAAAAGAATATCAAAGTCGGATTTTAATCTTTTTTATCAAATCGAAAAAAATGATTGAAAATGATTATCTGTCCTTTTTTTTTTTTTGACAAAAAAAACCAAAAAAAAAAAAAAAAAAAAAAAAACAATTTTTAACGAAAATTTCAGACGTGCTAGGAACGATTAAAAAATGTAAAAAAATACCCCAAAAATACTTTGATCTTTCCTCTTTAATAATAATATGAACATTAGACGATAAAATTTTGTTTTTGTCAAGTTCGGCGTTTTTTTCATCATGATATGCTCTTTTGTTTACATTTTCGTGGAGCTACCTATGCTAGACAGTTTTCCTTGCCAGAATCTGTCTTAGATATTTATAAGTCTACTGTTTATCCTTGCATTGAATATTGCTGCCACATCTGGTCTGGTGCTCCTGCTATATATTTAGAGATTCTTGATAAAATGCAAAGAAGAATCTGCAATGGTATTGGCCATGACCTGGCATCTCAACTTCAGTCCCTTTTTCGACTGTCATAGCATAGCTTTCCTGTACCTTTTCTATAAATACATTCATGGTAATTGTTCTGATAGACTTTCCTCTATGGTACCTAGACTTTATGAATTTAAGTGCAGTACTAGATTGGCAGTAAGGTCTCATCATTTTACAGTTGAAATGGCTACATGTAACTGTAAATTCTATGCTAACAATTTCTTCTATTGCACTTCTCACTTGTAGAACCCTCTTCTAGCTTCTTGTTTCCCAGTCAATTTTGATTTTAAAAAATTTAAATGCAATGTCAGTTGTTATCATGTTTTAATTCTTATTTTATTGTCCTTTTTTTTTTCTCCAAATATTCTCTAACACTCAATAATCTTTTGTGTCCTGGAGGCTTTATTGGCTTGCTTGGGGTGAAATGATTAAAAAAAAAAGTTAAAACATAACACATAAGTTTCATTTCAACACTTAATGTCTGGCAAATTCTTGCTACAACAGAAGTGAAAAGTAAAAAACAGTAAAGTAAAGTGAAAGTAAAAACAGCCAGAAGTGCAATCTGACAGTAGGGCAAAAACAGGTCAAAAGTATACCATTCTGAACTTGCCATTAAAAAGTATCCATTGGAGGTACATGCCTGAAACTACTAATTTTTGGATGGGGAATTCAATAAAACAGCTCTGTAATATGAATATCTTTTGTGAAATTATTCAACTTTTAGCTAATCAAAAAATAAATGACCACAAAACTGTTGAATCATTGGTCAATCCTTCAAACATACTTATTGTAAAGCTTTAATCTTATTTATCTTCAAACTAAAAACACTGAAATGAATAAAATAAAATTGAAACTGATGAAAAAGACTTTCTAAACTGTTGGAATGGTCCTCGTGAATTTCCTCTTCTAATGGTGATTTGAATTTGATTTGTTTATACCACTTGTGCAATATGATTCATTAAATGCCATTGAAAAATAATCATTTCTGCCTTTGGCTGGAAATAACATTTTGATTACTGCACCAAACGGACTTGGTCACTGCTAAAGTTGGAGTAATAGTATGCAGTAACCAACTGGCCTTGGTGCGCATAACTGAAGGTAATTTGATTTGGTTCTTCCTGATCAGAAATACTAGAATAGTTTAAATACTCAGATTCAATTAGTGTCTTCCTTTGTGTCTTTTCTTCCTTCCTGATGAAGTTCCATTAAATGTTATATCACTGTAACGTCTATTCTCTTCATCACAGTTTTAACTCTATTAGCATATATTGCAAGGAAATTAGCATCTTTTTCAGCTTATTTCTCCTGCTACTCAGGGTGTTGAGTTTATCATACACTGAACAGAAGATGTAAATTTTATTAATCTCCTGGGTAGTGGTCTCTGGCATGGAAAGCAGTAATACATCAAAAAAGAAAAAAATGGACTGGTTAAAAAAAGAAGAAAGATGTTATACTTATTATCTTTAATGCCATTATGATAATGGCTGAAAGAAAGAAAGAAAGAAAGAAAGAAAAAGAAAAGACAACTTTGCAAAAGTTGAACTATAAAATGTTCATTTTTTTTTTTTTTTTTTTTTTAAACTTCTGAACTAGGATCTAATCCCTCAAAATAATTCCTATTTTTATGGAGCCATAAGCTTATCCAGTTCATTTTTTGAAAATATGTAAATAAATTTTCAATTTAATCCTGAGAATTAGAGAAAGTATTTCCAGACACAAATGTAAATCAAATGAATGACCATTAAAAGGAAAACTGAATTCTGTTTAAAAATGTTATTTTAATTTTATATGGACAAATGGGAATTAAAAAAATATCCAGTTCATATATTTATTTTTGTTTCATAATATGTATTCAGTTTAATTTTTTTTTTTTAAAGAAAATGCATAAAAACGGCAGCTGAGGCAAAAGTGATTTGAGCATAACAGTTTGGAAAAATTACAATGAATAAGTATTTTATACAGTTTGAAAATACATCATTAAAGAAAATAGACAAAGAAAGATTTAAACCATAATATCCATTGATGAAACAAGTCTGATTTAAAATCAAGTTTAACTGGCAATGTCATTCACTTAGCCAGCAATACAAATTTCAATACACTGAACCTAATAATTTTGCACAAAATGGATACAGTAAACCCTTTTTTCAATTCAAGTGTGCCTCAAGTTGTATGAGTATAGAGATATGAAACCAACTGATTATTAAAGTTGAGACACTGCTATACAAGGAGGAGTGATCATTTTTTTTTTTTTTTTTTTTTAAGAGTTGAATTTCTGATATTTTATCCATTAAAGTTTTCAAGTTAGAAATTTTTTGTGAAAGGCAACTTCAAACATTACGGTTAGTCCACTATTGGTTAGACACATGGCACAGTGGATAAAGGCGTTGGTTAGATCCAGTGACAGACCCAAAGAAGGTGAGTTCAATACCTGGTTAAGGCAGTGGAGAACTTTCAGAGGGAAAATTAGCAGGAGATAACTGATAACTGACATCCATCAAACATGGCACGTGGAACTAGAACAGTCTACCCCGGTGATCAAAATAAAGGGTTCAGTTTGAAATTCCAACCACCTGAAGAAGGCGGAGCGCATAAACGGTCAAACGCTATGACAAATATGGCGACAAAGATGAGGACAATAGTCCGACTAATGTAAATACTGTACATAATACCTCATCTCAGAAATATAGACAGACCCAAAAGATTTACATTTTGTTTACATACTACTAGAGTAGTTTGTGATACCTATTTATAATTTTTAATCAATTATTATAAATAGGTATCACAAACTACTCTAGTAGTATGTAAACAAAATGTAAATCTTTTCTCCTAAATATACAATTCTTTCATACGTGATGATTGACTAATGATTCAGTTCATGAAACAAATTTTTAAGTTTTGTAGTCATTACTGTTCTTTTTTGATGTGTCAAAAATTGCATAATAAGTAGATACATCTATGACAAAAGGTCATTACAGATCATCCCAAAATTACTAAAGTTTCAGGCATCTAACTACAATGGATACTTTTTTTTTATGGCAAGTTAAGAATAATGTACTTTTTTTCCTTTTTTTTATGCTACTGTCAAATTGCATTTCTGACTAGTTTTTACATGGTGTAAATATGGGTTTTTTATTGGTGTACTACTGAAAAAGATATTTAGTTTCAGCCCTTTTGTGCAATGAATCATAGCAAGAAATTGCAAGGTATCATGTGTTGAAATGAAACTTATATGAGCAGTCAAATTTACTCTTCTGTGTCATTTTTTAACTATTTCATTTTGAGAACACAATATTCCCAATGTTTAGACTAATTGGAAGTAATAATTGATTTCATTAGTATTATTTTTCTTTTACTTCAAGACTACTTGTATGACATTATATTTATAATGATTTTTCACTTGTTTGATGCCTGTATCATCAGTTAGACACTGTTAAAATTGGTTTCTGGTTCAATATCACGAGATGGAAAATTTTTTAGTTCTGATCAACTTTGAATGGGCACAACTTGGTTGCTAATTGGTCTACCAAGATACATTGGGTACCAATTTTGTTTTGTTTGTATTAAAAGCTTTTAGATATATTAAAAATCAAATTTTAGTTTGGGATATCTAATAAGTGGAAAAACATCCAATATATTCTCTCCCACCACTCCAAATAAATGATAGCTCTTATTTCTGGATTTACAAATAATGATAGTAGCTAGAAGTTAATTCTTTAATTGAAAGTGATAGCAATATAGAATGAAATTAGAAAACAAACTGAAAACAAATCAAATAAAAAAAATATTTAAAAACTAAAATTGTTTAAAAAACAGACATATGCACAAAGTTAAGGTTAAATTAAAAGAAACATAAAGCAACATACATTTAAATTTTAAGGTATTGCACCACAAAATATTGATAATATTGTTGTGTTTTCTAGAGGATATAAGCAAACTTTATATAATACTAATTTAAATAAAATTTATAATTGAAAAGTTTTTAAAAAATTGAGAGTCAACGCACTATACTTTACAAGAATCTACAGTTAAGGATAATAATATTAGCTCCCCTGACCTCATCTAAAAATTCTTCTAAAATTTTTCCCTAACATGCTTTTTAGCAGAACAAAAAATGTTTCAATACAACATTGCTAAATATACAAATCTTCTGTAAATTTCTTTTTATTTGTGCACGATAGAGAATTATTTCAAAGTAAATCCTATAAGGGTCAATATTTTTAACAATCATTCTTAAGAAGTTTACATTTTGTCAAGTCACAGCACAAACTATTGTTGTATATGCTGAGTTTTTAATTTGTTAATGCTATAAGGTTATGAACTTAAAACAGATATTTATCTTCCAATATACATAAACAACTTATGGGTTTCAGCTGTGGCTTATGTCCACATCACATTGAAACACTGGTTCCTGTGAAGATCACAAAAGTTTAGCAATATCAAGCCTGGTCAGTACCAAGATTGGTAACCACTTGGGAATAACAGGTGCTGTATGCTTGGATGGCTGTGTAGTTTAATGGATAATGGCTTGGAATTGTTAATCAGAGAGCTAAGTTTCAATTCCAGTAGGGTTGTTTATATTCACTTACGCGCAAATACCATTGGGAAAGGTATGAATCCACCTCTTCTCTAGAGCTATTGGTTAATTTGTAAGACTTGTATCAAGAAATTATTATCTCCAAAGCAAAAAAATTCTTACAATATAAAAATATTTTTTGGCTTTAAATAACCTGTAAAATATTAATAAGCCATAGAAAATAAATCAATCACAAATCTCAGTTGTCGTTTGTGAAAACATCATGTTAAAATAAAAATGTTTAAAGTTTTGAAAAAGGATTGTTGATGCTCATAAAGCAGAAGTATGCACAAACTTAGATGTATTTCCAAGTATCAAGAACTGGAGTGAAATGTTATGAAGCAGTTCAAACTGAGCCACACATACAGAACAAGACCAGCAAAGGTAGGAAGCAAAAGATTTTAAAGACACTGAAAAGAAAAATAGCGAGAAATGTGTTTAAAAATCCTAACTGTCAAGACACTAGTGAATGACTTTGCCAAGTTTTGAATTGAAGTCACAAAGAAGACTAGAGACCTGTACAGGAATAGACTGAGAAAAACTCCACTTCTGCAGAAGAGAGACAACTTGGATAAAGATGATGTCTACTGGAAGTTAAATGAAACAAAACTAGTGCTCCTTGGCCATAGTGATATTTCCTATTTTTGAAGAAAGAAAGGAGTGTTGTATAACCCAAAGAACACTACCCCTAGGGTGAAATGCAGATGTGGGAGTACAATACTGTGGGAATGCTTTAGTATATCAGGGAGTGAGAATCTTGTAAGGCTGGAGAGGATCCTGAAGAAAGAATATGAAAAGATTTATAAAAAAAAAAAAAAAAAAAAAAACCTTAATTAGTCAGCAAAAAAACCTGGTCAGAGATGTTTTGTCTTGAACTATGACAATGCCACATCACATATGTCATTTTTAGTGAAAAACTACCTAAAAAAGGTCAAAGTTAATCTTAGTGATTGGTCTGCACAAAGACTGGATTTAAATTTCATAGAAAATTTGTGGGCTAATCTTAAGACCACGAAGTGTGGAGGAGCTTAAAAGATATGCCAAAGATGAATGGTCTGGAATACCTCAGGAGATGTGTCTAAAACTTGTTGAGAACTATACCAAATGGTTGTGGGCTGTTATTCAACTAAAATATACACAACAGTTAGAGCTAAAGATTGGGGGAAAGGGGCTAATCATTTTGACCTTGGTAGCTATGAATTAATTTTATTTCTGTGTTAAAAATTGCTTGTTCTGTTAAGCAGCATTAATTAATTTAAAAACAAATTTTCATGGGGAGGTGGCTAATTATTGTGTCCTCAACTGTATAAATATACAGTAATAAGATACTAATATGAAAGAAAATATTCGAAGTTTTAACTTCTGTAATGATTTGATATATTTTTTTATACAATATTGAAAAGTTACAAGTATTTGATAAAAGACTGTTCTGATAAATATGCATCTATAAAGCATTAAATATGTATATAAACTCAATGAAGAAGATTAATTATGCCACTTGAATATTTGAGCTAAAAGTTAATTTTATTATGTCAAACACTCACTTAAGTGTCATTTTTAATATCTGGTTAATATACATATACATACATATACATATATATATATATATATATGTATGTATATATATATCCATGTTGTGTGTGTGTGGGTGTATGTACATCCCAATCAAATTAAAACATCTTAAATATAAAATGTTTCTTAAAAGTTCTAGTAAAAGCTGGCTAATGTTTGAATATGAGCCAAAAATAAAGCTTCACTATAAACAAATAAAATGATCAAAACAAATTTCAATTTATAAAGAAATTAAAATCAAAACAGGAAGTTAATTTGGGATAGGAATGTATCAAACAAAGCAAACAGTAAGTCCACCTTACTTGTTTAAATAATATTATCACATATACTATATTATATAATGCAAAGGGGAAAGCCTCTTGTATTACAGAACAATACAAACCTTATGAGACCGTTACCAAATCAAATAGTTTGAATCCAGGCAGTCATCCTCAGTTTGCCTGTCAACAGGAAAGAGCAGCACATGAAAATAGAGCTCAATGCAACTAATAACAAACCTCATCATTTAATAAAATACAATGCTTTCTTTTTGATGAATCTTAATTATCAGATTAGTAATATACTAAATAAACTTAACTGCTGGTTATTTTCTGTCTGAATTTCTGAGATGAGTTATTTACACTATTTACATTCAAACTATTGGCCACATCTTTGTTGTTATCACAAAGTTTCAGCTGTTGTGCCCTCTGGCCTTCATCAGGTGTATATTGATCTGAATAACTTACAGGGAATTCTGAACTGAATTGTTCTTGTTCCATTGCATATGTCTAAGGATATCTAGTCTAGTTCTTTTTACTACTACTTGGTTATTGCTTGCCCATTTTCACTGAATCCAAGTGTGCACTACCCGTCTCAGGGATTGAATTCACAATTATGATGTCACCAAATTCATGAACCAATGCTTTAAACCATTAGGCTATTGTCTCTGTGGTGAACTTGGCGCCTTAAACCTAACCTGTCCGCTGATTAGTGCTGTTTCTGCCTGTCATTTCCCTTTTTTTTCTTTATTAGCAGCTCCCATATTATATTTATATTTAAACTAGGCCTACTAAGGAGGTCCACATAGCCTAACATATGCACTGATTCTTTCAAACTCTTCAGTGTCCTTTCTTTTCTAGTATTTTCACTTCGTTCCACAGGAGCTGATGATTACCCTTTTCCCTCAATGCATGATCAGCCATGCCTGATTTCATTGTCTCACTCTTCACTGTGGCTTTTCAATGTGCCTCCAGCCTTACTTTTAGGGGGCAGTTTGTTTTATCTGTTTATTCTTTATAGGTTATCCAGATTGATATATGCCTGCTGAAGGCTGGAGAGCACAACAGTAGAAATCTTGTTATAACAAGATCAAAAGATGAGGACTGTAAATGTGTAAATAATGCTGGTTATTTTGTTAAATAAAAATAAAAGATGAATTCTACCATTTTATCTTTTAGAAGGTGAAGTAGATGGAGTATACGGAAAAGCAATAAAGATCAATTAATCACAAAGATAAAATTCATTATAAAAAGTAAAAAAGATTAATTAAATGTTTTTGTATTTTTTACAGAATACAAACATACCCAAAGTGTTTGTGAAAGGACATCATGTCTAATCCTGAACAGCTTTTCAGCTGCCTGGTTATTTCATCTTTGATATAAAAAAAATATTGTATTAAGCAATATAGAATTTCTCTAATATCCTTTTTATTTTTTATTAGCATTATAAACCCAAAACAAATTTTCAAAATTCAGTTTTATCTATATTAGCTTGCTTGGGTAACAGACTGCATAGTTCCATCTGGAATATTTACAAAATAATTTTTTTTTAGTTCAGTTTAACAAATGATATAAAACTAATTCATTTTGCAGAAAATTTAATAAACATGATTTCATATTTTAAAAACAAAGTTTCAAATTCACACTTTAATGTTTTAGAATCATCATTAAAAAATATTCACTAGTCTGGAGAATGAATTGAAAAAAATTGTAAATAAGACCACTTGTCACATAAAATCAAAAAGAAGTTTGAGACCATGATGCCATTCTCCTAGAATTGGTTTAATTTTGTAAAGTTTGTTGTTTGGGTGGTAGTTCCATAACACTAGCTATTTGTTTAGAATGTATCAGTTTATACTTGCTTTGAAAGGAACTATAAACTCCTACAAAGGTGATTTTCAAATTTTTAAGGATTCCTTTGTGGCCACATCAGCTTTTCTGTTTCTGCAGATGCTGACATGACTAAGTACCCAACTAGAAACAAGTTTGTTTTTCCTCCCCTTGCAGATTGATCCTGTTTAGTAATTTAACTATTAAACTTGTTTTTGTTTTTCGGTGATATGGATAGTGAATCTAAGAAAACTGTAAAGTTGTCTGACACATTGTCTATGATGTCAAAAGTAAAGTATGGTTATAGCTTCAGCACTAAAAATAGAGGATTTGTTAGATAAGTGTTTTTTTTTAATTCTTATGCCATCAAGAATAGCTGAACATCTGACTTTATCGATGTTCTTCGAGCCATCATATAATATTTTGGGTGCACCTATAAAATATGATCAATTTCTTCTAAAAAGGTAGATGGACTGATATTATCTGTCTATATTTCTGAGATGAGGTATTATGTACACTATTTACATTATTCAGACTATTGTCCTCATCTTTGTCGCCATATTTATTACAACGTTTTGGCCGTTGTACGCTCCGGCCTTCTTCAGGTGGTTGGAATGAGCAGAATACTGTCTTTGTGAATCTTATATGTGAGGTAGCTTGGTGTAAAGCTGCGATAACTGCCTATACATCTTAGGTGCAAAGTGATCCTTGTTCTTGATTAGTATCTGTGACAGTTTGTGTTTTGTTGTCTTTGTAAAATGCCTTTGTATTTTGCTGTAGATCATTGCTAATGAGATCTTCCAGCTTGTATAATCTGAATTGTCCATCACTACAGTTGCATTGCCTTTGTCAGCCAGTAGTATGATGTTTTCATTCCTTTGTAGGAATCCGATCGCCAGCCTCTCCAGTTTTGGGATGTTTGGCCTGGGCGGCTTGGCCTTCTCCAAGGTCTGTCTCACCTTCCACCTCAGTTCATCTGCCTGAGCCTGAGAGAAGTTCAAGGCCACCTCCTCGACTCTGGCAATGATGTCCAAGTATGGCACTCACCTGATGGTTGTAGCAAAGTTGAGACCCTTATTCAACACTAACTTCTCAGAGGCACTCAGCTGATATTGGCTGATGTTGATTACTGCTTTCACTGGTGGGTGATGGACCTTGTGCGTCACCTTCTGATCTTTCAATCTGTTTAATTTTTGTACTTGGCGAGCCTTAACTACATCGAATTCATGTCTGAAGGATTTATCCAGGTCATTTTGGATC